TTTTTGTGGTCTAACCACATCTCAGTTCCAGAGCAACATTACTGTAACTCGAAAACAAACCAAAAACAAAATTAGATCTTCAACCTAAGTTGAATTAACCAATTTATTAGGTAAAAATTATAAACAGCAAGTGCTTCTTGTCATTCTTCTTTGCATGTTTTTCCTCTCACCTTGCTCCACTTATCTGTCCTCCCTTACTTGCTCCCCTTCCCTTCTTTCACCTCTTCCTCTATGTTCCCCCTGCCTGTGCTTTCAGAAACCCGATAAGCAGCATATGTATGTGCCATGCCCCCCTTTCCTAAGTAGCCCGAACGTCCGTCCACTCTGCCCTTTTAAATACTACCTCTCTTTCTCATTCTCTCTCCCTCACTCTCACTCTGTGCATGCTTTTAAGACGTTCGTAAAAGGAGGTCTTATTGACAAAACAATTGCTCGGCGGGGCTTAAACACTGCCTTTAAAGGGGTATTATTAAATTGCAGGCAGGAAGGGGAGGGGCAGCCAACAAGGGAAACCTGATGACCTCGCCATCGATTTTTACATCACTGGAGCGTTAGGAGAACTTAGCACAGAGATACTGACTGTATCCAGAGAAACAGAGAGTAGAGAGATTGAGAGAGAGAGAAAAAAAAAGACATTTTATATGTTACGCATGGAGCTTTTAGCTCCTGGCTCAGTCCAGAATGATGTAATTGTTCGAGCAGGTAAAAGGTTGTATTGTGAAAGAACATGTCCATACTATGGTTGCCGACAGATATAAACACGGGTCTATCGGCAGATCTAAATCGAATTATTCCTCGACTTCTTTCTTTACCAATCAACTGATACAGCTATTTTTATATCGCATGCTGAGGAGAGGTCAGTTATGAATTCGTCTCCTTGAGACATGAGAATTCTTTCCCCCTATTGCTCCATCCCAGGATTGCTTTTGTTTTGTTGACATGCCTCTGAAAAACATAACCAAACAGTTTGGACAGTGTAATCCAGCTCTCACTTAGTGGAACATATGCACTTGTGTTCCTAAAGTACATGCACTCGAAGGAACAAAAGAACTTCTCCTTTTGGAGATCCTTTTGAATTTTTTTTCAGTATCATAATTGCAATGCAAATAAAAGCCTGAAAGATTTGTTTGATTTTGCACACAGATTGTATCTTTTCTGTCACGCTGTTTGCTTTTGTCATGCAACACCAGGCCTGTGAGGTGGCAGCAGTTTGTGTGTAAGTTTTACAGCTCAGTGAAATAAGATGAGATAAAAAGCAAAAACTTTTTGTAGCCCAAAATTATTAGAAGACTAAAATAATACAGGAACAAAAAACAGATTACATTTACTTTGTTTTTTTTAAACAACACAACATAATGCATACTATAAACTACTAAAAACTATAAAAAAAAAAACTTTCTTTGTGGTTGATTTATTCTTTAGAATTTACAGTACAGGTTTGTTAATGAACTTTTAACGTCATAAGCATTCACATGGGTGAGTGCTCTTTGTGACATACTATACTGCTCTATAAAGTCTATGGGAGACTTATGTTTTAATGTACATCATTCTGTTACTCGTTTATGCCAGAGGGCGTGAGAAATTTCCGTTTGCTATAGAATATTCTTAAATTCTCTGTATATGATTCTGCTTTGTAAATGTGAACATGTATTGCCACACACACACACGCACACTTTTGCCATTCAAATTGAGATTCCCTGGTGCAGCGTATTTCTGCCAATAATTCATGAGTGATCTGCGCCCCTTGCCGGCCTTTAGCATTTTTATTTAATCTGCTGAGCCCTACCGCGTGCTCACTCATCAATAATGCACACCAACATGTGTGTTAACACATCTATGGTGCGGGAGACAGAGGGAGAGTATATGGTTATATTGCAGTGTGCGATTATGCAATATATGTGAGGTAACACACATTGTACAGTACAATAAAGAGATTGTATGTGTCTATGTTGATGCAGGGGAAGAAAGGAAGAGTGTGTGTTCTTAATGTTCTGACAAGAGTTTTTCTTTGTCAGTTGTTAAGTCATCCCCTGTTGGGACAATAAGCACGGATCATGGATGACCCCGGTACATCCTGAGCTGTTTAACATGAATTCATTGCCCATGGCCTGCATGTGACTGTGAAACACACTCCCACTAGGTGTTTTATACTTTCGGAAGTCTTCTTTTGCACCCATTTTGCAAGCGAACACACGAGATGTGAAGCGCGTTTGTGTACTCATTTGTATATATGTCTGTGAGTACGGTTTTCCAAAGCACTGACAAACAGAATCACATCTAGGAAAATTGACTTCACTAAATCAGTAGGTCAGGAGGTAACATCACTGGGGGTTGCTATGGAGACACCCAATGACGGGGCTTCCCAACCAGCACAACAACATGACTGTGAAATGGCAGTTCCCCTAACGTAACCCCTCGCTCTCTATTACTCTGTCATTGTCTTTCTTTCGTTTGTTTCTATCATCTTTTTCCCCCTCTTCCATTTCTGCTTATCCTCCTTTTCTCTTCTCTCTTTTTTTGGTCAGTTTCTTTGTCTTTATCTCTTTGTCACTCCATGTTTTCACTTTATTGTTTTCCTTGATCGCCCTTCCATGCCACACTGTACTGCTCGCTTGCTCAAACAACCGAACCATGCATGGAAATATGCCTGTGGACAAGCGTGTACACACATACACACGCACGTATACAACAAAATGTGAGGGGGCAGCGGGATCCCAGCATGGAGGGTTTAACAGCTAATACCCCTTAGATTAACCACCCCCGGTCCCTCTCTTTTAAACACACACACAGACACACACATCTTCTACAAACCAAGATTAACCTCCTACGATTTACACAGTGTGTGTTGGTATTGCACAAATACACATGCATACACACCTTCGGGGTGTGTTGCTATTCCCCTACCAATAAATATAACAAACAGATTGAGAACACACAGTCAGTATTAAGTGACCAAGCTACTGTTCATGTGACTGTCTGTGACTCACACACAGACACAGGCGTGTGTGCAGACAGAGTTTGGCTTTATCTCAGCTGTAAGGATTGATCCCCATGGATTTCAGAGGGGTCACGTGATCTGATAACCTCTAGGATTCCCCCTGGTCCGGAGACCTTTTTTCACCAGTATGTGTGTGTATTGTTTTTGGCCTGGTATAAAATGAATTCTCCAAAGACTGATACATCATACCCTAATCTAACGTCTGTCTGTCTCTGAGGTCTCAGATTAAACAATGGCTGGGAATAATGTTAACATCATTAGGCCACTGGTAATGGGGAGTTATCATGTCTCATCTCCTTTTCTTCCCTTCTCCCTTTCTCCTTCTCTTCATCTATTTTTCACTGTCTGCCTCTTCAACTCTCACTCCTCCTCTTTGCTTTTTCTGCAGTCTCCACTTTCATGCTCCTACCAAGCAAACTCACTGATACTTTCAAGGATTATTTTAAGGGCTGCTTAGATCAAAAACCCTCTGCAAGGGCCCTGCCTTGGTTACCCAGACTTGAGCCCCTTTAATTAGACATGGCTAATAACACTAAGCATGTGCTGATAGCCATCTCTCTGATAAGACTAGCCGCAAAAGGACACAGGGCCTCCTTTTACCTTTTACAGTATTACCTAAGGTTAAAATGGATACTTAGCAACCTTATTTTATGGCTCAGTCCATGCCCAATTAACAGGCCAGTTGGCACTTACAGAGCAGTAATTTGCAGAGGCTAGTTAGCAATCAGCCTGTCCGCTAATATGCTAGGCTCCTTGCTAACAAGGACATCTTCAAATGCCTTGTTAAAAAATAAGTACTAAATAATAACAATAATATATGGTCATTTTGTTCTCTGACTGACTTTCGTTCACTTTGTACTCTGACTGCAGGCTTTTGGTTCCCAGAGTTTGCAAAAGTAATTGGATGCAGTTCCTTTGGCTATCACGCTGTTCTCCCATAGAATCAGCTCCCAGTTTAAATTCAGAAGACAGGCCTTAAAATTTTCCCTTTTTAATCACAGGGCTGGAGCAGGTGACCCTGCCCATGCCTTAGTATGCTGATGCGGGTTTGGGCTGCTGGGGACTTCCCATCTTCTCCACTCCCTTATTTTCACTCTTGATGCATTTATATGCCACTATTGGATCATTAACCTTTATCTACTCTCTTCCATAGTTTGTGCTTTATCTTTGTCTCTTTGGACTCTTTTCCCCCTTTTCTTTTACTCCTCACCTTCATGTTAAAAGAGAGTTTGTCTGGTCTCTGGTATTTTCTGTCTAATATTGTTGGATCCATACCTTAGTATATAAAGCACCTTAAGGTGACCATTGTTGGGATTTGGAGCTACACAGATACATTTGTATTGGACTGAACTGAGTTGTTAAGACAAAGGTAACTAAGCTTCTTAGAGGATTTTTTTTAATCCAAATCAGAATATACAGTGTTTCCTGTTCATATTTTACTTTTCAAATAATATGCAGTACTACAGACTTCAGGATAATTTGCAAAAGAAAAAAAGAGGAAAATTCAGGATAACAGAGTGTATAAACTGAATAAATGTATGTTTTAAAAATTTACAAAGAGCAGATGAATGTTAAATGATGTTCTCCAAGTGTTTAAAACAAATGCTAATCACAGTTAAAGGTAAGCCTACAAAAAGCCGCAAACCCCAAAATAAGACAACCAAAGTAAAACCCTATAATTAGTCTCAGAGCAGTAATCATTCTTTTATAAGTTGTGCATCTTGGATGATTTTATTGGATGTTTTCAGATAGTAGTTTGATTCTTAATTAACATGGATTCTCATGTTTGGGCCGAGTTAGGCTGTTGGTTTGGAAAATCACTCCAGGCCATATCTCTTTAGATGGATTGATCTAGGTGAGGATGATTCAGTAAATGGTGTGTGCGTGTGCGTGATGAAAATAGAGGTGGAGTGGAGGCATTAATTCTAATCATCAAGAACTGGGATAGCCTGGGGGGTCAAACTCCTGAAATCGACTGCATGTAAACTCTGAAATGACTTACCAGTTGTTCACTTGTAGGATCGTGAGTCCTGTGTCCTGCGCCAGCTGTTTCTTCTGTTCTTCCGATGGGTAGGGATGCTGCAGGAGACAGAGACACTTTGAGAAAAGGCTGACCACAAATTGTTTAATGAAGCTTCTTGTGTTTTTAAAAGGGCTTTGATGTGTCTTTTAGCAGGGAAAGAGATGTTGCAGGGCACAGGTTGCACATACACAGTCGCACATACAAAACCATGCGCTGTAATGAGACCTAGAAAATGAGATGTGTGCTCATGCTCATTGGTGCATAGGTGTCAGTATGTGCCTGTGTGTATGTCTATGTATACTGTAAGTACATCTGAGTGTGTGCACATTAATGTGCCACCCCCTCCGATCATTAATGGAATATGAAATCTTGTAATTAATGGCAGCCAAAAAGGCAAGCCAATTAGAACGTTAAGTGAAGTGGAGAACCAGCTCTAGTAATTAGGCAGCCTCTTACACAAATATATTCGCGTCAATGGCCCCCCTTTCACCCCGCTGCATATGTAATCAGAGAGTGGGGAATATGTAACATTAAGCCGATGGAATAGAGACAAGAGGATGTAAAACTCGCGTCTTTATTGCTGCTGGTTTCTTTTATCCTTATTACAGTGTGTACAATAACATGACTCTGTTAAGTTTGTCTTTTTGTTGCAATTATTTCTATGGCTTAACTGCACAATATGATCCCTATCCCCAAAATTAAAGAATGCCACCAAAACATATCATTCAATGCTGTGTCGAGTCTTATATCGGGTGGAGGGCGAAGAAGTTATACGCATACACCCAATAAACTTTCATTTTTCGTAACTCTTAATATGTTTTAATCAAACTGCATCACCTTGATTTTAGAAGACATCCCTTTTTCACTCATTTGTGCAACAATAATATTAACAGGTAAAAGATAAAAGATCCTTCCTCCTTATTCGAGGATCCAAATTGGAATCTGAATGATTTTTTATTCATCTGAAGACTAACGAATGCATCATGGACACGAAAAGCCCGAAGTGACTTCTAAAGTCAATGTTTAAATATAAACCAGTGACTGTGACCCCTCCTATCAAGAAGCCAGCTGAGAACAGTTAAATTTGAGCCACCTGTTTAAATATATAGAATGAATAAATGGGATAAATGCGAACTTGGGGAGTGTGTTGATTTATATTGGAGTAGGGGGTATCACAGTTGCACGGAGCCTTGTTCATGGAGTACAATGTGCTGTTCATGACTCAGACAAGACATGGACTGTGCAGTACGGCATAGGCAGGCCGTAACAGAGGAGAAGAGGAGGGAGGGGAAAGGGAGCGATGGAGAGAATAGATTGTTGAAAGGCTAGCACAAACTGGAGGACTATCTATAATCCAAAAGCTGTGTATACATTTACAGAAGGGATACATCAAAAACTAAACAGCATAAGGATAATCTGGCTTAATGATCCAGTCAGCACTATTTTAGAGCACTGCTTTTCAATGATTAAGTAGTAGTATTTAACAATGACTGTCTAAAAACTTAGAAAATCTTATGCTACTGACTTTAAAGAACAAATTCAAATATTTTTAGGTTAATTTGCTCTCTTAAAAATAGGCCGAGTCGAGTTTAGAGTTACTCGCAGCGCTAACATGTGCTTCGATAAAAATCCCAAGTTACTGTGTTCAAAAACAGGCACCACACATATGGCTGCTGTATGATATTTGCAGTACATCTATCAAGGGTATGTCTCCTTGTTAGTCAATCAGATGTGCAAAATTAGTGCGGCGCCAGCTTTTTCATTTTTTCATTAAAGCTTTTTCAGTGCATAATGAACAGGATTGTGTTTAATGCTGGAACCACCCGGCACAGCGAGGGGAGACAGATTTTTTCCCAGTCTTCCCTTGTCCATGTGATTGGTTGCAGGGAATGGGAACACAAGGAGGCTAATTTCATGCACAAAGTTATAATTGCATGTCGCCTCTGGCCAAATTTGTGTCCAGTTCTTTTTTTACAACCATTTTTGTTCGCCTGTACGTGTGTGTGTTAGTGTGCATATATGCATGTGAACTGCCCATACATATGCACACACATATACACACAGTGCTGTTTCAGTGTGCGTGCAAGTTGCCTCCATATTTTTGCCCAATCAGATAAAAACCAAAGGAAAATAACTGCAGAAAATCTGAGGCAGCACTTGCCTTCCTCTGTGGGTGAAAGTGAGAAAACATTATTCTTACGGCTTGTGTCATCCGATGCCCTGATGCATTGCTTTATATATCATATCTACACATACACTTCTGACATTTTAATCTCAGCTAATCATGTGAAAAACATGTCTCTCTTTGCAACAAAAAAATGATTGAACATGAAAAGATCAATGTGTCTATTCTGCTTGTCACAGATCTGTGGAGTGTCTGCCTCGTGATATCAGGGGGATGCAGCCATGCCAGAGGCCACAATACAGCACAAATACACCCTGTTTCAATGTTTCCCTTCCTTCTAGCTTACCAGCACAGATACGCACTTACACAGACAGATGCATAAATAAAATACACAAACAGACAGTGTGTGTGACTATCTCGGTCTCAGCCTACAGTACTGGAAGAAAAATGTTCTTACAGCATTTCATTTGACACAAATCCTGCTAGTGGTAGAATGTAATAAGTACATTTACTTAAGAATAAACATAAGCATAAGGTTGAGGTTCTTTTAATTTTTATACAATAATTAAATTAAATATATAAAGAAATGGTTAAAAGAAATCAGTCAGAAATAACGTAATTTATTCATTTATTCAGTGTCAATTAAAAAAAAAGAAAGAAAAAAAAAAGAGTATTTTTATTGTTTACAGTTAAACGCATATTATGCTGATAACACAACTTCCAGGACAATCACTAGAACTTCAGTATGTGAGCACTGAGACTTCTACTTTACATAAGCAAACTCCTTTACAAGTTTTCACATACAAAAAAGTCCTCACTTAATTTAAGAGTTTAGAGGAAGAGATAGCCATGAAGCCAGAACATTAAAACTGTTTTTCTCCTCCTTTTTTCCCTAAACCTCCAAATTAGCTCCTATCTGTCAAAACACTGTGATTTAGTTTCTTGCTGAGCAACAAGTCGGCCAGTTTTAATATTGTCTGTGAGCGATTCTGGTGTCTTAACGGCCTTTGGCTCAGGTTCAGCGGGTTGAGAGAGAGAGAGAAAGAGAGAGAGAGGCCTTTAGTGAGAAAAGCAATAACATGTTCTTTAAAAGAGCAGATGGAAAGTTTCTGCGCATCCTTCCCTCCCTTCCCTCTTTCCTCCGCCTATCTTAATGATATGTCTTCTCCAAATATACAGCTCCTTTCATGAGAATTTCCACCCTGCTCTCCACTGGGCTCTGAGCATGTGGGTGCCAGGAGGGGTGTGCGTTTTTGCTTCCTTCTCTTCTTCATGTCTTATCAATCTGAGTATGTAAGAGTATGGGTGTACATTTCCGTTGTACATTTTGTTTGTCTGATAGAGTCAAAGATTTTACTTTGCTTTGCCCTGCAAGTTAATATGTGCACAGAATTGAATATGTTTCCTTGTTCTTATTTGAGCCACTGAGCTTGCATGGTTTACAAGTAAGTTTAGCTGTGCATGGTCTGAATATGGTGTGTGTATGTATCTTTGCGTGCAGATCTGTGTGTGGGGGTGAGTAACAGAGCATCAGTAACATCCCCTCCCTGTCTGACCGTCTTCCTCTCTGACCTCCTCAGACAAGAACAAGAGCGGGTTAGATAGAAGAAAGAAAGAGGAAGAGGGAAGGGGGAGGCAGGAGAGGAGACATGGAAATGGATATCTGGAGCCCCAGGGTTTAAAAAAGAGATAAGAGCATGAATATTCTGTAGGCCCCCTTTTTACTCCCCCGTTCCAACCATAACCCAAGAGAAAACTATTCTAGGCATGACGGTAGAAAAAAAAGTGAACTGCTACAGTTAACAATTAAACATACAACAAAATAGGAATTATATTACTTTTTCCAGATTTGTAAAAATATATTAAATAATTTTTAAAAAAACACTTGAAATAAAGTATCATCAGTTTGAGCTGGTAATAAGGCTCTGAACACATACCACTGAAGTAAAATTTTAATTTCGTGAGGACTCGAATAGAAAAACTCCACGGATCTAAAAGTGACTTAAAGTAGCCATAATAAATTACTTAAGATATTATGAAAGGGATGAAAAGTTGTTCTGTTAAAGACTAACATTTTTAAAGTTACCCGACCTAAGCTTCACACTAGCTACCCTGGTAAAAGTCTGATTTCATGTCCCGCATGTTTATTTAGTTATAAGAAACATTAAGTTATGGTAGCTTAGTATATGGGAACAAGCATTTGCTTGGTGTCATTCCCTAGTTCCCTTCATGATGACTGAACTTTTGACCTTTACAGCACAAAGTGTCTCTTGATCTCATCTGCTGGAGTAAAAATTCTGATAAACTTTGACACAAAAAAAAAGAACAGAATTCCTAAAAGGTCACAGCTCCCCAATTCTTGTTTTGTGCCGTGCAAGTCTCACCTGAATGTGTTGGTAGTAATAAATGGGCAAAAGGAAAAAGTAGTCTCTTTTGCTGGGGAAGCACTATATGACCATGAAAGGTGGAACATTTTAAAAATGTCTTTATCGTGCTGTTGTTCTTCTCTCTTTATCTTGCCTCCTCAACAAAAACAATTCTTTGTTATTATCTCTGTCTCGCTGCCTTTTCCTCTTCTGTATAAAAACATTTTCTTTCCTTGTTTTACTTTTGATGGAAATTTGATGGAAATTTGTCTACAATTGTTTCCATTTTCTATATATAGCTTAAAATCAGCATCTTTACTAAACATGTGTGATTACACTTTTATAACCAGTTTCACTGTAGCCACACTTCTCTGTGTTTCTTCTTTAGCCATTTGCATTAGGGTGTTATCATTGCATATATTTCTATTTAAAGCTACACTTCCCAAGCCTCTGCGCTTCCCATTAAAAAGGCTTGACACGCCACATTAGCTTTATAAAACTGCAACCATGAAACAGGATGGAGAGAGGAAGAGGAGAGAGGAAAATCATATGTTGTCACAGCCAT